ATATATATAAATATATATAATTAAAGATAAATAAAGAATATTCAAGTAATAAATTTAATATACTTTGAAGGATACATCATGAAAGATTTGGAACTGTAGAAGATAGTTATTAAAGTTCGAAAAAAAAGGGAAAGGAATAAGGAATTCAAAAAGGAAAATTGTAACTTGTTTAGAAATTATAATAATGACGTGAATTATACTATCATTTATTGCTAAAGCATTCCAGAATATGGAATTGATGATTCATTCAAGCCATCTCTCAAAAAAGGCTCCTTTTTGAAACTGATAAATGGATAATATATATGAGATGGGTTACGGATAATTTTAATCTTCAGAAAACAAAGTAGTACGTAATGAATGGTGGTAAAGTTGGATGTAGTGATCGGTAACGATAGTACATTATTCTTTTAAAGATAAAAGAGTACAACATTAGGAAAAGTCAATTATTCAATAGGAAAGGTAAGTCTTTCTTATATTGTGGATGTAAATTACATAAATAAAGAAAAGTGTTAGCAATGTGATGAAACATTTACTTCATGATTTCCACTTGAGAAGCGTTCATGTGAGGTTATTTCCTTAAATATCTGATTCAACCTTTTTTTTATTTCGATGTGTACAAGATGCATAAGCGATTTTTATAATATACCAAAATGCATATATGATCATTACAATATTCTAAACAATAAATACCTTAACATATTATAATTTTTTTGGTTTTCCGATCTATATTTATATTAAAATAACTGCAAATATAAGATCAAATAATACCAACTACAATAAACGACAAGCACTGAGGTTAGAAGAATAGTGTTGAACTTTGAATTGCCATTTCACTGTCATAAATGTTTTGCAACACTTTTCACGTGAATAAATATGTTGCAGAATTTCTTTTGATGAATATAAACTTAACGTAACCGTTAGTTTCAAATACGTCAGCAACAATGCCACGGATGTAACTAACGGTTATGTCCGTGGCATTGTTGCTGATGTATTCGTAGGGTACGGTTGTTAGGAAAGAGATAGCCACAATTTTCACATTGAGGTTTAGATTGATGTATTTTGTAATGCTGTCGAAGTACCGAAGAGGAACAGAATTTCATTTCACATCCGAGCCAAGAGCAGTTATTTACCTTTTGTGTTTCAAGATGTTGTGAATGTTCCTTTTTCGTCTGCATGGTCACATTACAATAACGACATTTATACTTTTGCCCAACTAAAAACTGATATGATTGATATTGTTTACACATACCACTTTATATAGTAATTCAATGAATACAATTTGAAAGATAATTGTATCAGCACCATTGATTAAAATTATCAAATCACATTTTGATTAACCTAAATTAGGAAATGCTGATCACTTCTTTGCTATATGTTTTTTCAAAGCAAAAAGCTCATTCTCAGTGTTGCTTGTGATGGGAGAATGTCAGATGAGAGGTAATTCTGAATGAGATCAGCTTCGAATTTGGGATTCTTTGTAGCATATATTTCCAACCTAATGCAATTGAGTAGAGGATAAACTGAAGGATTAAAANGGTAATGTCATTA